AACCAAAATATTAATGCAATTAGATTCGTTCTCTATCTCCACTTAAAAACACATACAACAGGCACCGCCCTTCGTGCTAATGTAGTAGCCAAAGGTAAAGAAGCACACGCAACATTCTTTAGCATTGTTACTTTATAGGTTTGTCCCCGAATCGTTAAAAAGATGAATTGCGAAGAATCGCAAAAAAAAAAATATATATATATCAGTCGATCAACATTTTACGCAGATCATGGGAGTAAATTTTTTAATATGGTCGATGCACCTAAATTTACTAAGTAAATTTGGGCAAATTTTTCTTTTCAGGCTTAGTTAACAATAAAGAAGTTGTCTGTTTAATTTCTGAGTAGCATTTCACAAATTCTCTAGCATTTGAAGGTTCTTATTTTTTACTGTTTGTCTATAAGTGATGGATGTTGTTTACCCAAAAATACCCAAAATAGGAAAGCCCCTAGCTGTCCCACAAAATTTTTTCCACCCCTTGTAATAACGACCAATCGAATTTCGAACCGAAACAAAAAAACAAGAATAGCTCTAAATTTTAATTAGGAAATCGCCTTCTGTGGTTTAATGAAAAATGTTCCTTGTAAAATTTACTTGTAAACGTCACATTATCCTAGACCTAACCCTAATTATAATGCGGTTTTCTTAACAGTCACACGATTTGTCATACAGATCAGGGGTGCAAAATTTTTAATATGAAATTCGGGTGATTGACATCTATATGATAGGTCTATTTTTAATAGCAAATTGCAACGGTAGACCTTTTTCAAAAGCCATTTTCAGGGGTTTCTTAAAAGGAAATTGCACTAATAATACTAGATATAACGGCTTAGCTATACAAATACTTTGTGGATTTATAGTTTTAACCGGAAAAAATAATAAAGCTGAGAAGAATCATGTTTTCATAAATAGCCTTTTGTTCTATTTTTGTATATACGTATATAGTACTTACAATGCAACAGATCCTTCTTGCTTTGAAGCTTTCTAAGTAAAACCTCGCTTACCCACTGAGATTATAAACTTTAAAAAATGTTAAAAAGAATCACAGCTTTCAAGTATAACTCATAAGAAGGTATGTACTTTATGCTTAGAAAGTATAATCATAATTGTTTTCCAAATCTAGAATTATTATAGTGTGGGTTTGTTCATACCCAAATCCCAACCCTGGTCAAATTAATATCTTCAAAGCTTTATTAATTTTTATTTAATTAAACAAATAGTACCGTTGGTTACTGCATATAATATTCTCTACCAGTCTGTTTCTTGAATAAGACCCAGTGATATAATTATATTGATTTACTATTAATATAATATATCCTCAAGAATAGTACCTGGTCCTTTACAGTACCCATGGGTACTATTTAATTTTAAAAGTGAAATTCTTGAATAAGACCTGAATATTGTATGCAGTGGTCAACGGTATATATTCTTATAGCTATCTGCAAAATATCGCTTTTTTGGTAGTTGATTTGTTCAAGTTTTGTCAGCTAGTCATAATAGTTAAGCAAGAGATCTATATTATACAATTTAATCATTAATAAAAATATATATTGAGGGGTTTCAGAATTAACGTGCGGAAATTTTGACAAAAATAAAAATGTATTTATTTTCAAATAAGCAATGTATAGACTTTATTTCATTTTCCAATAAATTTGTAATAATGATTTTTGTTGTTAAAAAGTTGTTAAACGGGAGCCTCTAAACACTCCCATTTCATTTTCTGATTTCAAAATTTTGATATACATATGAGTGCTGCAAAGTGAAAACCTGCAATTTTAGTTTTTGCTGACTCCGCTTTTCTATTTAATGAATTATATGTTTGATAAGTTGTTTCTATAAAATTGATTTCAGAAAACACAAATTGCAGGTTTTCCCTTTGCGGCACTCAAATAAGATTTTCAGATCTAACATATGAGTGACAGAGAGGAAAAACCTGCAAGTAAATATTTAAGTTATCACTTTGGTAAAAATGATCTCCTGAAGAATTATGATCTTATATAATTGTTCTAGTTATTTCTGAAACCCGACATACTGTTAGAGCGTATATACGTTGTGCTACAAAAATATAAATGACACATATCTATAGAAATGACCAGAACACTGATCTTATATGTAATTAATTATGTAAGATTACAAATTCATTCAGAGGCAACTTTGCCAGCGTAATAACTTAAATATTTACTTATAGGTTTTCACTCTCTGTCACTCATATAATGTCTCGATAAACCTGACAAATCCAAGAAAAATTATTAGAAATACTTATTCTCGTATGTTCGGTTCCTAAATTGCTAAGAAATCATCTTTAAAAAATTATTAATATTATTAAATATAAAAAAAAAAATAATAATAAAAATTATGAAATTTCAAACGAATTCAGGATCGATAATATAACTGTTATACAAGAGTGAAAAAACAAAATTGTAGTTCTAAATTTAGATAATTAAAGATATTGTATAATAAAATTAATATAGTTATATAAAAAATAAACCGTTTTTTTAAACAAAAGCAAATTATAAAAAAAAAAAAAACTGTTGAATTAATATGATCTACCTATTCATAAAACAGTTTTTCTCAATTTTCTTTGTTACGTTCATAATGCACCAGCCCTTTGCATATACATTTTGGCGAAAGCTCTCAACTCGACGCATCTAGTGATCTATTTTTTATAGTAGATATTTGTAAACTGGAGAAGAATCACACGAGAGAAGACAAAAAAATAGCACAGTTTTGAAGCTATATTACTTTACAAGGGCAAGCTAGTTTTTAATATTTTTTATACTTTCTGATTTGCGAAAACTTCAGCAACAAGTTTGCTTTAAGAAACATTACATGCTACGGCTAAGGTATTGGGAGAATATTTAAAAAATGTAAATTCGTCAATTTGTGTAATTTATGAAAATCATATAATAAAATTTTGGATATGACAAATCGTGTGACTGTTAACTTTAATTTTTGCATGTAACTTTTACTTAGAAAAACAAAATACGTTTGTTTTGACTATCACGTTACACCTGATCCTGAAATTCAATTAGTTGTTATTACAAGGGGTGGAAAAAATTTTGTGGAATAGCTACGTATATACAAAATAGGGGGAGGCTAAAGCCATGTACCCATGTGATTTTGACGTTTTAATCATATCTAGTAATTAACCCCCAAAATTTTTTCTGCACGTGATTTTTAGCCAATTAGATCGAAAAATCAGATGTAACGTAAAATCAAAACAATCAAATACGCAAAAACAAAACAATCGAATAAGCGAAAAATTTAATACAATAAATATCATATTAGGGTTAGAATTAATGTTAAGGGATGGGCATAGGTTATACCAAAATTTCGCAAGGAATTTTTTTGTTAGAATATGTAAAGCAGTTTTATAAACAAAATTTCGAGTTATTGGCAATTTTTGTAAAAGGCGTAATTTTCATATTACATCTAAGGTTTAGGGCATAGCTAAAAATTTGGGCATGCCCATAGGGGCATGTTCTCGAGTTAAGACATGCCCTATGAGCATGCCCTCTAAAATCACATGACAATAAACCAATTATATGCCAAGATTATATGAATGATATAGAGAACTAGACTCGAGTCAACTCATAGCTTAAAAAACCTAATCTTGACTTGAGTTAATTTGAGTTAAAACTATATTTTTTTAAGCTACAAGATTATTCAAAAGTTAATTCAAGTTATAGCTATTTTAAGCTGCAAGTTGACTCAAGTCTAGCCTCTAGATTGACATATGTATATATGTATGTATGAGCATTAATATTCAGGGTTATATACTGATAATTGCAAAATTATGTATAGCAAATTGTAAATTATGTGAATTATGCTAATTATGTGATTATGCAATTATACGAATTATGCAATTTTGAGTCATTAGCCAATAAAATTCAAAGAAGTACAACAAGTCATATAATTATAGTCATATTTTCATATGAAAGTGATTATTTAATATATAGCATATATACATTAAGATTAGGGTTAGAGTTGAGTTAGACTTAAATAGAAGCATGCCTTTTGACCTCAGGGCATACCTATAGGCATGCCTATATGGGCATGCCCCATGCCTCCGTGCCCTAAACCCTACTCTGAGGGTGGTTGTTATATTTACACAATAAGTATCAGTTCCCTAACGATTAGTTGTTTCAAAACAACTATTTTATAATCAAAAGTATATAAAATAATCACTCATTTTTAGGGGTATGGTATTTTAATTTCGGTAGATTTGTAAAAATTTTCAATAATAATTTTAAGAAAAGCTGTCTCGACTAAAATATTAGGCGAAACCTAATATCGAAATGTAATTTATGAATCACAATACTAAATAATTACCGCTCGACTTTTTGACTGCGTGTGTATAAACTTAGTATATTTATTACAAATTCCATTCCTGAATTTATGTTACATTAAATTGGGATGACAGTTTTCTATTTATTTATAAAGCCCATAGGGGATCTTATAGCAGATTCTAGTTTAACCATATGAATTTTCATTATGTAAAATGTATTACATGCATAGAACCTTTCAGTTCGTTATTGGTAGGATTTGAGTCCCAACGACAACAAATAATTAATAAGTATAAAAAAAAAATATTTAGGATTTGATAGTTCCAGACCACGTGATTGCAAGAGGCGCATCAAATTACAAAACATGTTAACTTCAAGTAATGACATTAATAATATTATTGTACGTAACGAATATAATACGTGTCATGCATGACTATTTAATGATCGACCACAAAAAATTCGGTCAAATCAAATGGTCGATTATTCCCTAATTAATCATCATCACAACTAATTACTAGATCTTTTTTTATCATCAATATACTTCCTCCAGTTCATAGTTTCAGGTTGCCATTCTCCATTATATATACATAGAATTTTCATCCTTTCATGATACTGAAGGTCTGGTAGAAGCTTTGGTGTAATTAAAAAGTATCTAAAAAGAGGAAAAAAACGATAAACATCAAGTTTAATATTCACGAACGTAGAAATCATAACTTACTGCGATGTATTAGGTCGACAAGCAGTCTGAACCATCTGACTATGAACCAATCGCTCATTACGAGGATCCATTCCTTGATTTATTTCATCAACAACTCTAAATGGAGTCTTAGATAGCTCTTGTAGTGCCATTAAGTACATTATAGTTGAAACAGACCGTTCCTATTTTTCAAAATAATACGTAAATAACACTTTTATGCAAATAAATCATTTTTATCTTAAAGAAGGTATACATACGCCGCCTGACTGTCTTTGACCTGTCAATACCTGAAGCCTTTCATTATCTCTATTTACAGATCCATTATCAGTATCCTGCACATGTTATAAACTTTTGTGATATGAAAATATACAAACCTAAATTTCACCAAAATATCAATACCCCACTTATCATAATCTTCGTGGGTACTGACACGAACCTCACCAGCACATCCAATACCTATTAAACATATTGATGATGATATTAGTAAAATTAATAATAACAATGTTCACATTAATGAAATAAACAAGGATACTTGCGATCAAATGCATTAGAAAACTCTTTACTAATTTCTTTAACTAAAGAATTTAATCGAGGTTCCCATTTTTCCTATTAAATTTCAAAAGAATTTGTAAATATCACAGTAAATTTCAACACGTGTTTTATAAAACATACTTTCAAAGTTACTATGTCACTAGTCAATTTCGCCAATCGGGATGTCTTGATTGACAACCTAGATTTGATTGAATCGATCTAAATAAATGCAAAGCAGTTATTCTCATTTCAATATTTCTAGTGGAATCACTAATATCACGATTTGATCCTTATACCTCAGCTTTTCTTGCATCGTATGTTTCAATAACACGTGAATCAACTGCGTAGTGTAAATCAGCTTTAGCACGTTCACTTGCAACAGCATCTTCAAGCTCTTCAAGTGTCATTCCTTGACTAAGCTATCATAAAATAATAGTTTATAAATATTAGAAATTTAGCATCCTAATTGCCTTGTAAAAATTGTGATGCAGATATATAATGTAATGTACATCTTGTAA